AAAAAAAATTTAAGGCTGAAGAAAATTGCAAATATTAAAAACGAAACACCATTCATCCATTTTTGACCGCCACAGTAGGTTTTTTTGGGTTATATGTACTTACAAACGTGTGAACCACGTGGTAGTGAGTCAATCCCTGCTATACTTTACATTTCTTCTTGTAGATGTGAAAGTAGAACATAAACCACTGTTGAGCGGAGTATCCGCTCGGAAATAAATAATCTTACAGGGCAATTATGGCTAATATAGTAAACATTTTTTCCTTTTTTAGTTTAGTTTTTCAGATTTATTATGTATGGAAATATGTATACTTTTTTATTTTAAACTAATGTTTAGAAACTTATTTTTTGTATTTCTTTCCTTTTTTAATTTAATTTTCTTCAATGATTTGGTTGTTATTTTTTTTTAAAAGAGTATTTTATAACTTTATTTATTTTTTTGGAATTTATTTTATTTACTTTTTCCATTTTTAAATATTTGTTGTATTGTTTTTTTTAATTTTTAATTTTTTTAAACTTCATTTACTTTTTGGAAATATTTAATTTAGTTTGTTTTTCCTTTGTTAATTAAATTTTTTTTAATTTTAGACTTTATTGTTTTAAAAAGAAAATATATTGAGGATCTTATTAAATTATTATTTTTAATTGTTTTTTCTTTTTATTTTTATTTAGTTATTAATAAAACTATATTTAATTTTATTTAATTTTTAAGTATTATTTCATTTTTTTTTTGATAAAACTTTTTTCTAATTTAATTTTCTTTCATTTATTAGTTGTTGTTTTTTTTTAACGAATATTGTATACATATGTATGTATTATTTTTAATCTTATCTAGTTTTTAAGTATTATTTCCTCTTTTTTTCTCTAAATTAATTTTCTTTCATTTATTAATTTTTATTTTATTTTTTAACGAAAAATATATTCATATATACTATGTATGTTGTTTTTAATTTAAAAAGAACGGATTGCTAAAAGCCGAACAGCATAACGCTAAAACCTCGTCGATAGAAGATCTTTCAACTAGTCTTTCGAAAGACAGTAAAGAGATTTCAAGATACATAGTTGCCAGAATTGACAATTGTCTTACGAAAGACTTTTGTCTATCGAAAAACTGTGATGAGTTAAAAGACAGTTGCCAGAATTTCCCTGTTAATTTAAATCTTGTTTAAATTTTAATCTTAATTTTAATCTTAATCCTAATCAAATCTTAATCTTAATTTTAGTTATAACCTTAATCTAAATTTGAATCTTTATTTCCTTTTTGGTTGTTAATATTAGCATTAATCTTAACCTTAATCTTAATTCTAATCTTAATCTTAGCATTAATTTTAATCTTAATTTCGATCGTAATCTCAATTTTAATCTTAGTACTAATCTTGATTTCAACCATAATCGTGCTCCACCAAGCCTGCCATTCCCTTCCTTATTTTCTTGCCTTAGACTATGCAATAATGTCACCGTGTATTGCTCATAATCACTCAATCGGAATAACCCGAGGAATTATCAGCAAAAATGCATGCACGCTTGGACGTTTCTTATACATATTTTTTCGCACGACATGAATAACTCGCTCACTTATGGATTATTTTAGTAGCCATGATGGCAAGCTTTTGTTAACAAGTATATAAAATCAAAAGCAGTGTGTTGAGAAATTTATAAATAAAAAGTAATTAACAATCAAAAAATATATGTATTCAATACGGTAATTTAGAAATCTTGAGCAATATTTGCCAAATAGAAGATGAAAAGTTGAGTCCATAACGAATTGAATTTATTTGATAAAGAGAAAGTGAATGTTTTTTTGTGAAAAATACGCAAACATACATTTTGCATATGTACATACAATAGTGGCTATACAAAATATGGAAACTATAAAATAAAAGTTACTTTATTTAATTCTATTCCAATTTAGCCTTTATATTACCAGTCCAACTTCGCTGTATAAAAAAATGCTTCCAACTGATGAACTTTGTTTGGTCAGTCGACTAATTCTCATTTGGGTTACCCTCAGAAGATTTAGCGCTGCACAAATATACTATGGTGAGTAGGCATAGTTAATGTCATCTTTTCTATTAGCCACATATGAAACCTAAAATTTCAATACCTTATAGAGGACGACCCCTGTGATTTTGGTATCTACAAAGGCATCTGTTTGAGAGCCAGTAAATGTATGCAACTGCCTGTGCTAATGAAAGAAATGACCTTGAAATCGGCCGATGTTGGCCATTGTGGCTTTACAACTACAGAGGAGATAATCTGTTGTCCGTAAGTTTGAAACGCATACCTACACAAACACTACTTATTAGTTAATAGCTACTTTTTCAATACACCTTCAATGCTAGACAAGCTCCAGCACCTGCAGCAAAGGCACTGCCAAATAAATTAGAAGATATTTTCAAACCATTTGAATTTCGTGCGCCGCTAGAAGATGAAACAACCACAACAACTATACAACCGATACCAGCAAATTTGTGGTTCTCAAATAACTTAAAGGAGAGCAATAAAGACGGAGAGAGTGTTAGCAGGAGTAAAGATGAATCCACTCCAGTTAGTTGGCCAAATGTTGATAACTCCGCGAGAGTAAATACTATATTCAATGGTAATCAAATTCCAAATCAAAGACCCTTAACGGATGAAGGCATAAACGAAGAAAATGCGCGCAGAATAAATGATATATTCAATACAAAGCCTGTTCCACAGGCTACACTGATAGAGGGCAATACTGGAGGCATTAACGGTATAATAAATGCAAATTCTGCACCTGTCAGTCTCTCAAATGCGGCTGATACTCAAAGATTAGATGCAATATTTAATGTGAACCCGGTACCTAGTAGAATTCCGCTGGCGGATACTAACCAAAGATTAGATGCAATATTTAATCTGAACCCTCTTCCGAGTGGGATTCCGCCTGTAGATAATACACAAAGGATCAACGCAATATTCAATGAACAGCTGATTCCGATTGGAAATAAAATTAATGGCGTAGACCAGACTCGACAGAATAATTCGTTATTTAATGGAAACCCGACGCCAACTGGCGCAGCATTTGGAAGCATAGATGCTGACGCTGCCCAACGCATAAATGCTATATTCAATACAAATACTGCATCAAGTGGCATACCAATCGAAGATAATACTCCAGTGAATGATGGAAGAAACAACCCGCTCGGAAACATAAATAATAACAATACGAGTGGCATAAATATTAAATTCAATGGCAGTCCATTACCAAGTGGCATTCCTATCGAAGTTAATACTGGATGGCCAAATGCTGTTGATTCTCAAAATATACCACCTACGAGTGTATTTAATAGAAATCCTGCGCCGAATTGGATTACAATTCAAGATAATACACAAAAGATTGATAGCGTATTTAAGGGAGGCGATGACGTTGGTCAGCGAATAAATTCCATATTTAACACAAACCCTGTGGCAAAAGTGATGCCCATCGAAGGAAATGCTCAAAGATTTAGCGCAATATTCAATGGAAACCCTGTTCAAACTGCAAATGAAATAAATAATGATCCATTTCATAATTTTCTAAAGCAACCAAAAAATGAAAGATTGCTTGCAAATCGGGAAATTGTTGGTATGCCTGTGCAACAACCGCCACTGCCTTTGGCAAATCACTTTCGACCTCAGTTTGGGCGCATGGAGCAGCAATGAGGCGAGATGGGGTTTTCGGAGATCTCTTTTTAAGAAATTTAATTAAAATAAATTTATAGTTTTTTATTTAATGGAGCTATCTACTTGTTCTATATACATTTTTAAGGGGTGTAGTCATGATGTGGTCCAAAAATAGTTAGTAAAATTTTAAATAATTTTGATTTTGAATATTTTTGAAGAGAAGCATTTTTATTCGATCTAAATATATTTATTTTTATTCTATAAAAAAATTTATTTTCTCCATATAAAATATGTATATGGTAGCGGGAAAATTCCATAAAGTTAATTTTCCTGTTGTTTTTGGACGACCCTAACGTACATATGCAAGTATGTAAAAAGATTTGCGTACATTTTCTATACGTGTCCGGTTGTAGGATGGCATTATATAAACTATTCTTATTCGTTTCCCTTGAATCATGATTAAGTAAACCATAACATATGTACATACATATGCCTTATAATTCGTTTGAAAATTCGCTTTTGGAAGGGTGTGATGATAAGTATGAAGTTATGTTTAATTTTCTATGGAATCCCTCGTTCTAAGTAAAAGGGTTGCAGATAAGAGAGCTGATGAATGGCCAGACTAGTAAATATCGACATCTGAATGGAAGATCGACCTATCTCGGCAGCCAGTTCGTAAACGCCCTATCTCAGAAAATTTGTCGAATACACCTTATCGAAGTAAACTTTTCAAGAACACCCTGTTTCAGAATTCGGTTCAAAAAC